TGTCATGTTTAACCTGTGCTGATTTAGTAGTTTTGGGAACTTGATTTTTTGGACAAAATACCTTCCACACCGCTGCATGGGATGATCGCGCTGGATGGGCGAGGATGGGGGCAATAAGGTGCTGTTGGCAGGAGGTGTGGGAGGGATGTTTTCTATGTTGCGATGCTTCCGGCTATTTATAGCATTCATACTCCTGCTTGAATGAGCTTTCTGCGCACATGAACGGCGAGCCATGGTGTGCAGGGGAAGTGAGCTGGAAGGCTGGTGCTACCATTTTGGGTAGTCATCGCAACTCCTGTCCACTCAACGCCGAGCGCTTCGACATTATGTAAGCCAGCCGCCTTCCACAAACATCGTGAATTTTATCCTGCTGAGCTCACTTTAAGCTATGGGTGCTCACTGAAAAGTTGTTGAGGAGCTAATGCACTATTGATTCTCTCGTGCAGTTTCTCCATTTACCTCTCATCCACATATCTAAGCCCTAATTCGAAAATCGCCACGAGAGACCTTGCACATTCGATGTCCATGATACCTCTTCACCACTCATCTCAGTCATAACGGGGAAGTACGGAGAGAGATCTTCCTTATACCTGTCGACCGTCCTTCAGCCACCAGCATTGTCCTGCCGTCTTATCGAGCCGTCGTCTAGAGTAGATTATCATGCAATTCAAGCCCCGTCCACATAAGTGAAGGCGGGCGCTCTGACGCGCGCCTCCTCGCTTAACCCGGGCGCTGCCTATCCCCATTGCTATCGTCCACCAGCATCGTTGACATTTGGCAGACAGCTCAGTACAGTCATGATAGTCCAGAAATGCACAGCATTTCAGCACAGGGAACCAGGACAGTCTGCGTCTCGGGTCAACGAATAACCGTCGCTCAGGTACTAGGGTTCGCAGTACTCAACTTCGAGGCCGGGGCTCGCTGGCGACGTGCTTCTGATATCTTGTTCTAAAGGAGTACGACAACAGGAGAGTTTCCCTTCTCCTCACTCAGAACCGTGGTCTATCTGTGATATCCTCCCGAGCGTGGCACCGACGATGGACACTAGTAGCCTTCGAGAACGGCCCAAAGCCAAACGTGTCGAACACGTAGTCCGTATAGAAGTGCCTGTCACCACACGCCACAAGCTTCAGCAGCAACGGGCCCGGATACTGAAGTTCCAGCGAAGATGGCAGCGCATCAAAGATGATCTCCCTCCACAGCTCTCGCGCAGTCAAAGTCAGTCCCGCTGTTAGTGATACGTTTCATGGTATGCTAATGATGAAGGATCTCAAACTACTGTCTTCAGTTGGCATGATCTCGATCGGTGAGTCAGGACCGCTTTTTACTAGCACTCCATACTCATGTACGTTCGAACATCCGAACCCCAAGGTGGTGTCATCGGTACCGGTCTCTTCCTGGGCTCTTCGGTACGACACTGTCACTCGGTGCGCAGTATCGTGATACTGAGATTACGTCCGTTTCAGGAGGCCTTGAGATCTGGTGGTCCCATTGGGTCTTTCCTGGGGTACAGTCTCGTTGGCTCTGTGGTATACTGTCTATGTGTATCAATCGGAGAGATGATTGCTTTTCTGTACGTCGTATTGACTATAAGAGATCCTGTACAGAGGACTCTCAGTCTAGTGGGAAGATCACTGACTGTATTAGGACTATACCTGTACAGAGGACTCTAAGAACCATATGAGTACAGTATAGTATGGGAATAGAAGATGAACATACCTCAGTCTAGTGGGAAGATCACTGACTGAGGAAAGGAAGGAGCGAAGCCAGCACTGTCTACACCGCTGGCAGGTGGCAGTGCTTGTCTACTATAACAGGAAGGTAAGGTAATCTAATCTAATCTGACACGTCACCTGACCGCATTCCGACACTCCCACTCAAGCGCTGCCTAAGACCCATAGCCCGCATAAACCTCCAGTGTTTCTCTCGAGGTAAGGCCTTTGTAAAAATGTCCGCTACCATTTCCTCCGTAGGTACCCATTGTATTTCAGCTTCTCCTGTAGCCACCAGATTGTCGCGCAAGAAATGGAACTTTCGC